TGTGTTGTAAGATGTACTATTTTTGCTACCCAAAATCTTTTTTTTTACACATTCATGCATATCAATGTCGAGATGATCAATTAGAGGGTCTTTCAACATTAAAACAACCTTTTCCGATCGATTTTTTAAGTGCATTTGTACTTCTACACTTTAAAGTTGCAACCTTATATAAACTTTTCCCTTTTTAAAATGCACTTGTTTTATTGTTTTTAGCATTTAGGCATGATTTCGAGTCAAGCCTTACTTTAATTCTCTAGGATTGGTGCTTATATAAACCACATATAAATATAAAATTACAAAAGTTAAGTCACATTTCGAAACTCCTCCCAAAAATGAGTATGGGAGCCAGGAACCTTGGTGATGCCCGAAAACTTATTTTGTATGTTAATAATGAAGTCTAAAGTTCCAAAAATAATATAAATCTTACAAATTTGTGAAGATTGGAGAATGGACAATGCAAAAAATGTGTTACAAGATTTGACTGATAATCCATATTTTCAGATCTACGATTGTTGAGGTTAAGAATATTGTTTTGAGGAAATGTCATTGTCATTGTCATCATCATAGTTGTTTTTTAATTGATTGACGTTGGTTACACGAATATCGATCTGTCATTCTGCTTTATTCAAATATTTATTTAAATATAATTTTTTATTTCAATTATGCTTTATAAGTTTTTAAAATTCATAAAAAATAAAAAATTTATTTAAATATAATTTTTTATTTCAATGATGCTTTATAAGTTTTTAAAATTCATAAAAAATAAAAAGAAAATCCTCCAGCTAGGTGTTTGCCTATCAGAACAAATGCAAAAGCATCGTCTCCGTGTACCACACGATTGCTTTGTGCTTTTTTATTTCAATATTACAACTACATTTAACAAGTCATTACTAGTAAAAAAATTATCAAAATGCATCTTCGAGGTGAATTATAATGTTTTATTTATTTATTTTATTTAGTTTAAAAATTCCATTCAAAATACACATGATCGAGTGTCAAAATAGTTGAAACGAGTAAAAGATTTAATAGTCGATGAGTTGGATGTATTTTGATAAATTTCACTAAATATAATAATAAACCATAGATGAAATAACTCATATATCTGGCCAAATTAGTAGGGTGACAAGTTTTGGTAATAAAAATTATTTAGAACCGGAGATTATAAATGCGAGCCTTTTAACAAATATATTTTTGAGATGGAGTTTTAAGACTTAAGTTTTAAAGATGTGTAATGTCTAACATGGAGAACATTAATATGAATAAATAAATAAAAATTTATTATTTGTAAAAAAAACGTTTGAACCGGTAGTTTCCATTGTTTCATCTATCTTTAATATGAATGCTTTGCAGTTTTGTGGATCGCACATGTAGAAAGACGGTCCAGCCAACACGAAACAATTTTATTTTAAAAAAAGTATTGGTGATCCGGATTAGGCACCCAAAAATCAGTCCGCATCAGTGAATTGGCAGTTGGGATCGCCGTTTTACTATGTGAAAAAAAATGAATTAGCAAAAAAAGACGTGAAAAAACAATGAATCGATAAAAAACCGGTACGGATATGTGAATCAACAGCCCGAATCGCCATTTTATTGTGCAAAACCAACAATTCCCTTTTAGACTCAATCGTTTTTTTATACATATATAAAATCGAAAGGGGGTGACCAATTCCCAAATCGAACTGGGCTATTTTGAGCGTATTTATTAGGAAACATTATATTTGGGAGAAGTTGCTAGAAAAAGTTAGATTAGCGGTAAATTGATTAAAGAGTTTATTTTTTAAAATTTTATCAATTTTTCTGAAAAAAATTACTACAGTTGTGAATGTGAGAAAATGTTGAGGGCTTTTAAAGGTATTGTAGCCTAACAAAACCATTTTGCTAATTATTGCAAAAAGGACATCTGGTTAACAGTAGTAACAGCAGGCATTTATTAAGCATTTATCATGATTCAAGGTATATTTACTATTGAAATTTGTGAATATTCCTTAAAATATTTGGCAAAAATAATATTTATTGATAGCATTTTCTTGGGTTCCATGTTTGGATTCAAAGTTTCAATCTGACCGAGAACTTGAGGTGGGGTCCTTTGAATATTTTAATAGAATAATGATGATTGAAATTTGACCAAATAAATATTGTCCTTTTAATATTTTAATAGAATAATGATGATTGAAATTTGACCAAGAAAAAACACACAAGGCTGGGACAACATTTTGCCGTTTCTCACCCAAGAAAAAACATTTTGCCTGTGCTGCGCTTTTTCGTGCCTCCGGCCATGGGTGGCTAAGAGTCGCATCGGGTACGAGTCGGGCCCATCCCAACCCAAACCAGGGAAAAAAACTAATGAGATTCGGACCCGGACCCAGACCCAGACTAGGACTTGGACCTGGACCTAGACCTAACTCAAAAATAACAAAATTTATAAATTTTAATATTATAACTAAAAAATAGAGTTATATTAATTAAAATATTATATATTCAGTATTATTTAAATAATAATAGTATTCATGTTGGGTCTATATGGACTCATACCTGAATAGTATTCAGGTATAAGTTTTGGACCCCAGTCCAAATTTTAAACCCACACCTAAACCTAGGTCAAGTTTAGTTGTTGGTACCGGGTCAGGGCCAGGCCAGGCTATTATACCCCCAAGTAATTCAAGGGTAGCTGGTGCCTCGTTTTGGTACATATCGTTAGAGGCCAAAATCAAATCCGCAGTGATTCAATGAGTCAAGGCCAACAACTGTTGGGCATGTGAGCTAGATAGACCTGATCAAAACCTGCCATTCTAGTGCAGATCCATTGCCACACGATGGAGTTCAGAGGTGTGCCTTATATTGATGGTTTAGGGTTGCAACCTTATGCAAATTACAACCAATAGGTAAGCCTCACCTCCAATAACTCATGAAAAATTGCAATTATAGCAGTGAAAATCTTTCAAATCGATCCTCTCAACCTGGATCATTATAGTCTTAAAAAATATTAAGATTTCAAGCTTTCAAAATAGTATTTATCTGATGACATATTATCTAGACGGTCCATTTTCATGTGTTCCTGCTTCCACAAAATGTGTACTATTTTTTTAACAACAAATTTTATAATTGGCCGAAGAAATTAATTTTAGAGCCATCAGGTATTTATGATGCGGAAGGTATTTTGAAATTAATTTTAGAACCACCACGTATTTCTGAATTTCTTATGCCCAAGGCGTTTTTTGAATGAGGTTTAGACTTTTGATTTAAGACTTTAGTTTTTTCTTCATAGGAAATAAACTTTATAGAAATTCCATATATATATATATATATATTATTATTATTTTTAATATTTAAATCTTAACTCTTCAGGCCAAT